GTCTGCTCAGGACCAGGACCTTGGAACTTTTCTGGGTTGTCAGGACCTTTTTTGAGTTCTGTGCGGGGGCCAGGCATCAGGCCAACCACGGCTCCCTTCTGGGCCGGCTGTGTAACTCTGGGCATGTGGCTTAACACCTCAAGCTATAAAATGAGACAAATCACCAGCTTGCAGATGGTTAGGGATTAAATAGCACAGTGCCCAGTCAGAGTGATGCTCTGTGTGATTAGATGGATGACATCTCTTTCTTGGTATGCAGGGTGCTAGGCTCTGGGGTACCAGGTGGAAAAGCTGGGACTCCTATTCTAGAGAGATGCACCATATCACAGATTGTCCAGTTTCTGGGTTATTAAGCACTTGATTTTAGTAGACACAGCACTAGGCAGTAGAGCAGGGGGAGGTTACAGAGCTATTGAGAGCTGAATGAGGGGCTTTGGAGATTTGGAGGGTGTGGCTGAGGATGCCCAAGCTTCCCTCCGCACCCTCTTCAGCCTGGCCCTGCAGGAGGCTTTGCCTTCACTGATGCAGAACAGTCCTCATGACTGGACCCAGGCCTCCCTTGTCTCTGCTTTGGCTTTCCCAGGCTTGCGTCCACCTCAGGCCTGTTTCCTGTGCTTTGTGACGCGTTCCTGTATGACTGCGGGTGCCTGGAGCCCCATTACCCCAGGGACTGATGGCTGGGGGAGATGTATATCATGAGTCTGAGGCAGTGATTAAATTAGGTGGGGCTCCCTCTTCCCACCAGGGCTGGGCTCCCATCCTCCCTTTGGCCACAAGGGGGCGAGCCAGGACCACCCGGCTGCCAGAGAGCCTGGGGAAGGGGAAGTGGCTGGACCAGAGAGTCTGCCAAATGCTGCCTCGCCTCTGCTGCACTGCGCAGCACCTGCCCATGGCCACTGGCCCTTGGGGCTCTGCCCTGGGCCCTACTTCCCAACCCAAGTCTCAGTTGGCATTCTCAGATTAGGGTCTCCTGTCTGTTTTCTTTCTGCCCCACTTTCTGGTGCCCCAGCTTCCTAGGTTAGGAAGGGAAAGTCTAGGGGACATTCCCTGATAACCTCTGCCCTGGTGCCCAGTGTAGGCCACTCCAGTCTTGACCACCAAGCTGTCCTCATTTACTTCCACTGGGCAGCTCTGAGTCAGAGCTCAGCTGTGACACAGTGTGCTAGCTGTGAACCCAAGCTTCTTGGGGGCTTCAGGTAGAAGCTTGAAGCTGCCTAGGGGTCAGGATGACACTTCTAGGCACCTGGAAGCACCGCCCATTCCCAGGTGGCCCCACTCTTGCCCTGCCATCCTGGTCCCTCTGGAAGAGAGAAAATCATCCCCAGGGTAGACTCCTCCCAACCTCCTTGGGCACTTTGGGGGAAACATGTACAGGTGTGTGCCAGGTGACACTGGGAGAGGCCCAGACCAGACACCCAGAATTCCATGTAAGCACTGTACATGCACACGGTCATGCTGGGAATGGGGTTGTATCAGGTGGTTGATCACTCTCCTCCTCCACCCTGAACCCCAACTTGGGGGACCTTCCCATTGGCCTCCCTGGCCTCTGCCTCATCCAACACCTACCACTTGGCTGATTTTTTTTTTTTTTTTAATCTGTCCTGTTCCGGAATGTTGGCCTTTGTACTCTTTTAGAGGCAGGAAAACCAAGACCCTAAAGGGCCATTTGGTATACTAGGCTGCTATTGCATAGCCTGGACAGGGCTGCTGACAGCCAGTCTGGAGCCTGCTCTGCCGTCTGCTTCCTGCACCTGCAGCTCCTCCCAAGAACTATGGAGTTGAGCTCCAGGGGCTGGGTGGGGCTGCCCCCGTGTACATGGGAGTGCGCCCAAGGATGGGCAGGCCAGCTTGTGGCAGGAGAACAGGGTGTATGGAGGAGAAGCCCTGGCTGGGTGCTGGGTACTGCTTTCAGGCCAGCATTGGCCTGGCCCCCAGCACTTGCCCAGACCTTGTCCCTCTTGGACACTCAGGCCATGGTTTCAGGCCTTGACCTTAGCTGAGGCTTTGTGTTTGGTTGGCAGACAGGGCTTTCCCTCCAAGGAGTCATCTGTGGTGTCCTTGCTGCTGTAGCTCAGCCTGTCCTACCCCCCCTTTCCCCTGCTCTCATAGCTGCTTGGATTCTTCACAGCCCCAGGTCCTCCCCTGCACCTGCCATCAGTTCTGCCACTCTCCTCTGGACTTCCATGAGCATCCAGGCCTCTGGGTTGGGGTTGCAGGGAGTCCATGCGATCTGGGCCTGATCAGGGAGAATAGTGTCTCAGTTGGGCAGGCCCCTGGAGATAAACTGATCAGCGCTCTTACTGTATGTGGGAAATCAGGTCCCAGGTCGGCCCAGGGGTTTGCTTATGGCCTCCTGATGCCCTCTTGACTCTTTCTGTCAAATCGTTCTGCATTCATTGATTCTTCCCTTCATTTGTTTACTCAAGAATGCCCAAACTATGCCTCTGTATTCCCAGCCCCCAATTCAGGAAGGCATGGCCAGGTGAAAGAGGCCCTTCTTCTGGGGCCCTCACTGTTGCCCCAGGCCTGCTACATGGCATCCAGCTTGGAGCTTAAAGGGTTAGGAATGCGGTATATGGTGAGCTGCAGCCCATGACCCAGCATGCAGGGCTCTAAGGGTACAGGTCATGTTTGCAGCTCACCGTATCCGCCCCCCCCCCCCGCAACCTTTTAGCTCCAAGCTAGGTACCATGTGGCAGACCTGGGGGACAAGAGGGTCCTGGTGTGTTATCCTTCAGGGCTGGTCCAGGCTCCATACTCCCCCACCCCCCCATGACTTCCATCATTTGGGTCTAGCTTCTGCTATGAAAGGAGCTCTGGTGGCACAGTTGTTAAGTGCTCAGCTGCTAACTGAATGGTCAACGGTTTGAACCCACCAACTGCTCCATGGAAGAAAGATGTGGCAGTCTGCTCCCGTAAAGGTCATAGCCTTGGAAACCCTATGGGGCAGCTCTACTCTGTCCTGTAGGGTTGCTGTGAGTTGGAATCAACTTGACAGAAATGGGTTTGGTTTTTCGTGTTCTTCCCTGAGGCTCCCAGAGCACGTAATGACGTCCCTCTGACGGCCTGGTACAGGTCCATGGCACTGACTGTGCTCAGTCTGGCTTGTTACCGCATCCCCAGCGTGTGTCCTGCCAGGCCCCTTGAGTGGGGAAGGGGGCCTGAAACGTGGAGCTCTGAAGAAGGGTGCTATACAAGACCAACCAGGATGGTTACTGCTCCTGCCTGGCCAAAGCCTCATGGCTCTGCAGTGCATGAGTGTGGGATGGATCAACTGTGCTCCTGGCTGCTCCGTCTATTTTCCATGAGCTGCAGAGAATGGGGCTTCATGCTAACGGCCGCATGGCTTCACAACCCTAGTGAGGTCTGATCCCATGAGCCCATCCACAGGGCCTAAGTCTAAGCAGAATGAGTATTTCCATAGCTTTGGCCCTACTTCCCTCCTTTGGGCTGGTTCTAGGCACCATGGAGCTGGTGGGATGCTCCAGCCAGGATCCAGCCTGACCTGGCTTAAGCTCACTGAGAACAGCAACTTCTGGGGAGCTCTAGAGCTGCCCTCTGTCCCCACCTGAGCCAGCCCCAGCTTTCTTTAGTGTTCTTCCTCCAGAGGTTTATATTTGTAGACCAGGAGCCCAGCATCAAAGGTAGACAAGATTGCACAGGCAGTGTGGGCCTGTGGACCCAGGAGCCATACCTGGGCACGGGCTAGCTTCTGACCACAGTTCACTGCCACAGCTGGCCTTCCCTGGGTTGCCTGGCGCCTTGCTAGACCGGACCACTTTATTTCTCTCTCACTCTCACTCAGGTAAACATACCCTGACTCTGCTCCATTTTGCAGGGTCTAGAGGCCTAGAGAAGAAAGAGCTTGCTCAAGGTCAAAGTACAGGGCAGCAGGATAGAGGGTGTGGCCCCTGCTGCCCAGGGCGAGGCTGGGTTGCCTGATTCTCAGACAAGGCTGTAGCTGAAGAACACAGGGAAGCTGCCCTCTAAGCCCCATCTCTCCTGAGACATGCCAGTCCCATGGAGCCTTAGGGCCTGGGTGGGGATGACCTGCTGAGGGGCTGTCCAGGTGGATCTCTGCTCAGTCAGAGGAGAGCTTCTTGGAACTTGCCCTGTGTGCAGCAGTAACCAGTTCTGCCCCTCCCTTTGGCACACAGACCGTCGCCTACCTGGCACCCTCCTGACTGTCTGATGGGTTGACTTCCTCATGGGATGTGAGAGATGCTTTTATTCTCCTAGCCGCAGGGACGAGGTGTTCCTGAGAGCATGGGGGTAATTAAATATGGCTCTGCCGCCACCTGCCACCTGTCTCGGATTGGGAGAGGGGTGGTGAACCCGGGGCAGACATCTTCCTGCCTCCTGGACATGGGGGGTGACCCTCCCATTTGATCCCTGTGTCTGATGTTGATGTTGGGCGGTGCTACTGGCCCCTGGGGTCAGTTGGGCCACCTCTGTTGTAAAAATGGCATAGGGGCAGTGTCTCACCTCCTCTAACTTCACAAGGGGGAGGGAGAATCAAGATCAGCAGCCCAAGGCTGATTCCTATAAGGCAGAGGTCAGCTTTGCCTCCTCTCTCTGCCATCTTTACCAATTCTGACACCAACCATCCCTCCCACAGCATTCTGTACTTCTCTCCTGGGTTCAATAATTCAACTCACAGATCATACTCATTATTATGGGGTTTATTAGAGAAGTCACAGGTTACAATTCAGGCTCAAGAACACTTAAGGATACAGTTTTTCCATCAAGACAGCCTCTTCCCATCCATGCTCGTGGGCATACCTCTCCCTGGCCCTTGGCCTCTGCCCAGAGGCACTCAGCTTTCTCTCTCTATGGGCCGGGAAGCCCACCGCACCATCTCCTGCTGCTGAGTGTCTGCTGCCAGTCTCTCCTTTCTTGGTGATAGTGGGCTCTTCTTTCTTCTGCCCCTGGGGTGGCTCATTTCAAACCCAGCAGGATGGCAAAACTTACCAATCCCTTTGGTGGGCCTCAGTTACCCTATCTGCACAGTCCTGCCCAGTCACCTGGGTGGAAGTTATAAGACCATGGCAAGAACAGCGACACAAAAGCAGTGCATTATACCACATCTGTGGATCAGCCTCATCCCTCTTTTGAGAATGCCTCACCTCACTGAAAGGCCTCCAGCGTGAAACAAAATGCTGGTCCAGGGGCCGAGGAAGGAGAACTTGCTGTCCCTTCCCTGCAGGAGCTCTGCCTCGCGCCAGCTGAAACCCAGTAACTTGTGTGTGGCTGTGCCAGCAGTAGACTCCAGGTTCTTCCCGAGACTGCTGGCCCGACAGCCCCGGGGCTTCCCATGGAACAAGAGCTGCCCTTGGCTACACCACCTCGTGCCTACCCCCAAGCTGCCGTGCAGCTCAGGGCAGTGAGTGTGGTGGGTGGTGGTCTTCGCCACACTGCACAAGGGCCCCAGCAACCTCTCCGGCAGGGAGGAGGACAAGCCAGAGCCCAGGGGAAGGGTCAGGACAGAGCAGGGGCAGGAGGGCCATTCTGTGGAGGACTGGGTAGGGCATCTTGAGCAACAGCCTGGAGTTGAGAGCAGACACACCCAACGGCACTGAGGGTGCTAGTTGGGCAGCTGTGGGTGATCTCTGGCAGGAGAGATGGCTTGTGGTGTGCTGTGCTCACTCTCTGTGTGTACCACTGTCTCTGTTCAAGTCCCACGGCAGGCACCCTGGGAGGCTGGCACTGCTGGGCCTCTCACCAGGAGACAGGAGCCTGGTTCCAGAGAGATTCCACAAGCTGCTCAGGACCAATCTGTGGACCAGGATTTGAGTGACCAGGGTCCCTGTGGCCCCAGAGCCGAAGTTCTCTCTACTTCCCTGCTCAGCCACCTGAGGAGTGATATCCCGAAACCAGTGATCTGGCAACATGAGTCTGCAGACAGGGCCCAGGCTGTGGCATGGACCAGCTAAGAGGTGATGAGTGGGCTTGCACTGGCCGAGGGCGAAGGGCCACAGATACCCCGTTTGAGGGGAAGTGCTGAGGCTCTGGATGGAGAATGGCAGGCATCGCGTGGGGGCAGGGAGGAAGAGCTGGCATCTGGTAGGACGAGTTGGAACTCGAGGTTGTTTATTTAGCTGGTATTGCATTAGGTTTGCGGGGAGCCTGTGATAGGCCCTGGCAGAGGCCTGAGAGCTAATGAGGATGTTCAGTCTGTGCTGCAGGCCCCAGGTAAACCCGGGGTTAATGGTGTTCGTGCTGTGACTCCCACACTGGGAGTTCCAGATGTGATGCTCTGACCCTACAGAGCTAGCCAGCCTATGTGCACATCTGTTTTGGACCTAATACGAAGGTCTCACCCACAGAGCCTGGGAAGAAGGCTCAGGCACAGCACATTCACCGAGGAGGGGGCTCCAGCTCCAAATGGGCCACCAGCCTGGCTGTCTGTCCATCTGTCTGAGTTTTACCCCTCTGAGCCCCTGCAAGTCATGGCACTGGAAAGTCTCTGGGGCCGATGAGCACTGGGAGATGGAGCCCAGGCCCAGCCCCTTCAAAGAAGACGCCTCACCTGGGTCCAGGGGAGTGATCAAACAGGCACCGAGGCCTGTCACCCTTGCTGGAAGTGGCAGGGTGGGCACACTATGCTCTAGAGAGCGTGTTCTCACATCTGGTTTCACTCTGTGGGCCGTAATTCCTGAAAACCCCTGAGCTCCCCAGGATAGCGTCGTTGAGTGACCTCTGGAAAAGCAGAAGTGAAGTCTGGGAACACGCTGTCCTCGCACACTGTGCCGTGGCCAGCTGGCCAGCAGAGCCCCTCTGTGGGCCATGAGGCCATGGGTGAGTCTGCAGCAGGGGGCCGCCCCAACTACCATGCTGTGCCAGGCGCTGCCTCTATGCCTGCTGGGGCAGTGTAGTAACACCCCCTGGCATGAGCTAGGACCCTCCCTTCCTGCTTCTGGGGGTCCTCAGGGAGGGGTTGCAGAAACTGGGGGCTGCGGGATTGGAGAAGCCATTTGCGCCTGCCCCTGGGATCCCTGGAGGGACTGAAAGATCACACCTTTGGGACTGTCAGGATCTGGAAAGGTTTCAGGAAGGAGAGGACAGAGCTACCCATCTGTCACCTCTCAAAGTCTGGCTGGGGCTGGCAGTCAAGCCCACACTTTGTCTTGCAGAGAGCACTGGTCAGGTGAGGGGTTCCCCATGCCCCCCTACTAGCGTGACTGTGGTAGTTACTAGGGTTGCCAACTGGGGCTAGAGCCCTGCTGCTGAGGGGTTCTGGCCCAGCAGACCTGGGATATGAGGGGTAGGCAGGGGTCGGGGGTAAGGTGAACGCTATGGGGCCAGCTTGAGTCTGGTATGGCCTGATGAGCCCTGGAAGGAATAATCAGGCTAAGTGGATATTGGGTTGCAGCCTGGCTCAGCCACCTTCAGAGAGCTCAGCTGGACCCTGCTGGAACTGGGGCGATGGTCTCTGATGTCCACAGGTGGACAGTGCTGCACTGTGGAGGAGGGAGGCCAGGACTCGCACTTTCCAGGCTGGGTTCGTGTCCTCCCAACCCAGCCCCTCCATCTGAGCCTGAGGAAGCAGCTCTGTTTTCTGCACAAGGCTTTTCTTCAGAATGATCCATAGACTCCCTGGAGCCCTTGCTTGGGGCAGAGATGGCAGGAGAGTTGCTTCCGCCTGAGAATAGTGCTGGTAGACCAGAGAGTTGAGGACCAAGGCCAGTGCTGAGTGCACAGGGCCTCATAGGCTCTGGGGAGGAGGCAGCGCTCTAGCTCCAGGGCCACAGGAGCGACTACGTGAAGGTGACAAAGGCACGTGGGAGTTGGAGGAATTCACTCTGGTGACAGTGGGGCACAGGGCCAAGATGTGGGGTTGGAAGCCAGCTAAAGGGGACCATGGCGGTGAGGAGGCCTGGCAGTGCCAGGAGATGAAGTTTAGGGGAGAGTCACCAAAACCTTGGGGATAAGGCCCTGGCCTAGTGGCTCTTGCTGATGCTGGAAAGCAGAGGAGGTATGGAAGGGTCCTGGGTGGGGTAGGGATGCTGGGGAGTAAGCCCCAAGGAGACACTGGGAAACTGGTGGTCAAGCCCACGCTGGACTGGAGAGGGGGTTCCTGCCCGGCCCTGTCCCAGTCCTCTTCCTCTGAGGAGGGGTTAGGTCAGACTGCGGAGAGAACTTTCTGATAGCGGCAGCATCTTGAACACAAGAAATCTGCCTCTGAGGAAGTCTCTGCTGTAAGAGAGCCTAAACTGGCCAGACGTTCCTGGTGCCGGGCCACGGATGGGAGGGTTTAGGGTAGACAGCTGGGCTTGTGGGCAGAGCAGAGCAGTCCCCCGAGTCTGTGCTAACCAGAACACTGCGCCTGCTTCGGCGGGGGCACGTTTGGGGCTCTCAGGCTGTCGCCGAGGTTGTCAGGCTGTTGAGCCCAGGGCACAAAACAGAACTGGCCTCTGCCTTCCCAGAGCCCCTGCTGTCCTTGGCTAACCCTGGGGGGCTGGGCCAGGGCTGGGTGGCCAGGTCTCCCACGAAGCTCTCAACAAGTTCCAGGCCTTTCCTCCTCACTCAGACCCCGCCTCCAGTCACATCCCTCCTCCACATCCCTCAGAGAGCAGGAAGCTGGGGGCGGGGGAGGGAGAGTCCTACCGGCCCTGTCCCAGCCTGAGGAGTGTCTAGAGGGTTTAGAGCTGAGGACGACAGGGCTGCCAGCCACTGGGCCTGGGCGCCAGATTTCTCCAGCAGGAGCAGAGCCGTTTCAGAAGCCCTGTGTGGTCCCCTCGTGGGCAAACTGAAGGATCAGCTAGTCTGCCTCCCTCCAAATCGCCTCCTTGGCTGGCAGGTTGTCCACTCTCCCTGGGTCACAGGGAGACATGGGGCTTGGCCAGGGAAAGTGTTCTGGAACGACCCTTTGACATCATCCCTGGGGTCTTTTAAAAATGAGTTTCCTGGTTAGGAAGACTCCTCAGGCCTTGGGTCGGATTCTCTGTAGAGTCTCCCAAGCTTGCTCTGATCCAGCAAATGCCAGCAGAAACCACCCAGCTGCTGGTGTTCCAGCGGCACTCAGAGCTATGGCTGCCCCAGATACAGTGTCAGCAGAACGCAGCAGCCAAGGACCGGAGGGTTTGCTGTAAGGCCGGCGGGGGGTGGTGTGTGCAGAGGAGCCCACCTCAGCTCAGCCTCCCATGCACATGCACACAATCGCAGATTCTCTAGGAATGGCTGATGCCACAGTTGATGCCAGAGGGCCTTGTCCTGAGTTGTGACTGTCCAGGGTCTCTGTTAGGTGGGCAGTGTCCATGCTGCCTCTGAGGTCAGGAAGGGAGCCTACTATTCGCCTCTCTCACCTCTCTGCCACCCACCCACTCTTCTGGGACTAAAGAGAGGTGCTCAAGCTGTCTGGGCAGCTGAGTCTGTATCTGAAAGGCCTGCCGAGGGCTGAGGGCCAAGGGCTGTGAAGAATGTGGTCAAGGAGTTGCAGGGTGGGTGGGAAGAGAGGAGATCAGAGTTGGGCACAGACAGAGTCCACCAGGCCTGATCCACATCCCCATCCCTCTACGCCCTGACTGCGGGGCTCAGGATAATTTCCCTGCTCCCTCTGCTTTCTCATTCCCAAGTATTGAAATGGACATGCCTGTGAGGGTCCCGCACAAGGGCTGCTCTTGGCCTGAGGCTGAGGAGATAGCGGGCTCCAAGCATTTCCAGTTGGAGTGAGGCTTGGCTGCCCCTCTCCTGTTGGGGTTATGATTCACACCTGACTAGTGCTAGGTGTTGGCTGGAGACTCACTGGGAGCTGGAAAGGGCATTTGGCATTGGGGAGGTTGTGGAGCCAGCCGTCCCAAGGAGACCAGCCATGTGGAACAGAGGCAGAGGCTAGGCCAGAGGAAGTTTCACTCTGCTGGAGAGCTTGTGAGGAGACAGAGTGGGAGGTGACAGCACGTGCTCACCCGCTAGGGAAAGCCTCCAGCAGCATGTGCCCGGGGCTCAGAAGGGCAGTGGCGGCAGGTGTGCGGGGAGGCCTGGGGGAGGCCTGGTGCCTAAATGCTTTGGAGAGGAGGATTCAGGAGGCTGGACTCACTGTCCTGGAGAGGGACCCTACCAAGAGGACTGGGTTTTGACCTGAGGCTCTCCCTGAAAACTAGCCTGGTCTCCGGGTACAGCTGTGAGCTGGAAGATGTCCCTGTGGCCTGCAAGGGGCTCGGGCTGGCCGCCATGGCTGGATGAATGAACGGACCTGTTTGGGCTGGCAGCTGTTGCACCACATGGTCTGACCCAAAGCGCTGTGTTCTGGCCCTGGCTCCCAGCTGTGGTCCACTAGCAGCTTCACCCAGAGGGGATTTGAGCACCTGCTGGGCTGGTGCCAGGCTTCTTTCATCCAGGAGTAGCTGGGGCTTAGCCAGGCTGTGGCAGGCGAAGGTGAGAAGGAATAGGGCCCAGGACTTCGGCATGGGCTGATTGTAGACAGCGTGGGGTGAGGACACCAGAGAGTGTGCACACCTCCTGGGCAAAAAGGTGTCTGTGGGGAGGAACAAGGGGGCTGGTGGCTTCTCCCTGCCCTGTCTTGCCCTCTTATTCCATCTCCCTTTTGGGAGTGATGGTGGAGGCGGCGGGTTCCTCCTGCTGGCCTAAGAGGGTGAAGTCTACTCCATGCGTGCCCAGGAGCTACAGAGGACATGAGTGCTACCTGCCACTCACCACCCAGAGATGAGGTAGAAGGTGGGGGCCGCTCTAATGGCTTGCATACCCCTCTCTTCTCCCTCCCACATACTTTCTTCCAACTCTTCTTTAGCACATCTGCTTCCCCATTCTTCTCTTGATGGAGTACAGGAGGAGAGACATCACAGGGGTCCCTGAAGCCTGTAGAGAAGTTGTATGCCCCACCCTTCCTCCCCTCTGAGCAGCCCAGGAGAGAATGGCCCTTTGGACTCCAAGGACACATGAGGAGGCCTTGGTGAGGAGGGCTTGTGGGAATGACCACAAGTGTGACCCCTCTTGTCATCCCCTGGGCAGCCTCCCCAGGGGACAGAGAAGAATGGAGTATCTGGGCAGCAGAAGCCAGCCTTGGCTTTTGGGGGCTACACCCACATACACATTTACACACACACACACACACACACACTCACACATGGGTCTCTTCTCAGTCACTGTCCTCGGTACTGCCGTCACTACTGCAGTATGTGCCATCTCACACTCCTGGAGTAAACCTTCCTGCTGTTTTCACCAGTCCTCCCCCCATTCTTTCATTCATTTTGTAGTTATTTACTAAGCATGAAAACACACCAGAACATCCTCTGTTCTAGACTCTAGAATACCTCAGTGACCCCGAGTCCCTGCCTGCATATCCTGGGCAGGTGGGCTAAGTGCTACAAAGAAAAATGACACAGTTGAGGGGGCAGAGTGATGGGGCTGCAGGCGAGGCCTCTAAAGAGGGGATATTGGAAGGGAGACCTGAAGGGAGGGGTGGAGATGGCCATGGCTTTCCAGGCAAGGGAGCAGGGCAGAGGCTGAGGTGAGCACATGCTCAGTCATTAGGGGAGCAGCAGGGAGGCCAGTGTGGCTGGGGCAGTGAGCGAGCGAGGGGGAGGGTGGTAGACTGGAAGTCAGAAAGGTAAGGCAGTGATGGCGAGGTGGAGCAACCACACGGGGCCTCGAGAGTACTGTGACTCGTTCTGAGTCAACGAGGAGCATTAGAGGCTTTGAGGTGGATGAGTGACATGGTCTGGCTTGGGTTTGAAAAAGCTCACTTCGGCTGCTGTATAGAGAATAGACTGGGGAACGGATTGGCAAGGGTAAAAGCTGGGAGACTGCAAGGCTGTTCCTTGATCCCACTGGGTCTGACCTGCCCTGCCTTCCCAGGACCCCTCTGCTCTGTCCTCCCTTTTCCCTTCCCCCATCCCTAAGATTTCAGAAGAGAACCCTTAGGGTTGGCCTGCCTTCCTCCTGCCACTCCTAGAGGAAGCTGTTTCCTTCCTTCCTCATCCCCCTTTCACGACTCATTCTCTATCCTGCCACTTTGCACTCACACCATCCTGTAGGCTGTTCCTTTCTTGTCCTTACCCTTTGCTGTGCCCCAGCCTGGCATGCCTTTCTCATCCTCTCTGCCCTGTGTTGGTGTCCTCTTCACTCTGGACTCCCATAGCTTTTGGTGTTTCCAAGAGTAAGGGCCCAGATCTTCTGTTCTAGGTTAGGGCTGTCCTGGAGTCTGGCATGCAGAAGGTCCTCAAAGGCTCTGGGTTGTGGATGGTACCTTGGGGCCATGGCTGGTGTTTCTCAGTCCTACTTGTTGTTCTGCTTGTGCTTGGACCTTGGAGCTAGGGCTCGCTCATGGCCCAGGGGTCTGGGGCATCTCCAGGACCTTGGCCTGGCTGCCCTGGAGTAGGCCCTGAGCCAACAACAGGGAGGTAGAGGCAGGGGCAGGAGGCCAGGGCTGTAGCCAGACACAACTGCAGGGGAGAGGCTGGGGCCTAGAGTCACAGTGTGGTTTGGGATTTGGGAAGCTTGGAGAGGCCAGCCCTCACCCCCATTCTTGGATTTCAGACCTGAAGCTGCATCTGCAGAGTACTGACTACGGCAACTTCCTAGCCAATGAGGCATCTCCGCTCACAGTGTCAGTTATCGATGACCGACTCAAGGAGAAGATGGTGGTGGAATTCCGCCACATGAGGAACCATGCCTATGAGCCCCTCGCCAGCTTCCTGGACTTCATTACGTGAGTGTGCCCTGTAGTGCCTTCTCCTCCCATGCCAGCAGGAGCTGGACCAGCGTGGGCTCAGGCCAGCTGCCTTTGTGCCTCTGTGCACTGAGCACTGCCTTCAGAGTCCTCCTAGCCTGGGTGACAGAGCTGGTCATTCAACAGCCCTGGACCACCAGGCCCCCATCCATAAAATGGGGACACCAGCACCTTCACTAATGGTCAGAGACCTGATCGGCAGGCAGGAGTCCCCACACTGGGGTGCTGGATGAAACCCCTCATTGGCGCCCATGATGTTACAGAGATTGGGGTGGAGAGACCAGGGAAGATGGGAGCCTTTTTCTTCACTCACTGTACAGCGCCCACACTGAACACTTGTCAGGCCTGCACCCCCATGCCTGGGTGAAGGGCCCGGGGATGGGCAGGGCTCTGAGGAGCCCGGTACTTGGGCCATTTGGGCCTGCTGGCCCTGTCTGGCCTGAAACTCATTCTTGTCTGTTCAGACCATGGCCCTGGATCTCAGGGAGATGGGGTAGGGGGAAACCAACTGCCTGACTGCTTTTTCCCAACTCTGGCATAAGCCCCCACAAGCCCAGACGGGCAGATCCCCATACTTAAGTCCCTTGGCTACACATCTTCCCATTGCCTGACCCTTTGGCACAGCCCTGCTTCTGCTCAGTTCTGAAGAAGTGGAGCAGAGGAAAGGACCCTGAAGCCCACAGGCAGGAGTGGCTATCTGGACAGGGCAGCTTCTATTTGCCATTGTGCCTGTGGAAACAGGGAGCTAGAGAGGAGCCCTCTGCAGGGGCAATCCAGGAGCCAAGAGCCAGGGCCTAGTGGACAAAGAGATGGCCCCTAGCCAGGTGGCTACCCCACACATGTCGTGAGCAGAGACGTGATAGGGGACTGGCTTCTAGGAGTGGCAGAGCGTGAGTGCGTGCTATGGGGAAGCGTTTCTAGGTGCACTCTGGGTACTGAGTAGCTTTGATCGTTCCCTGATTACACTGCCCCCACCCTCCTCCTTGGAACCTGGCACAGCCACCCCACTTGTCCCTGCAGGGACAGTGTAGATGCCTGCTGCCTGGCCTGATTCTCACCCCCAGCAGAGAACAGCCACTTGCTCAAGATCATAGGAGCTGCAGCCAGAAGGGCTCCATCCTCAGGCACAAGGGGGACACCCAAAGGTCTAAGAGAACCTGCTGAGACCGGGAAGCAGGCCCTTTCCTGGCTACAGACCTCCTTTCTTGGAGGCCTCCCTGCTGGCCTGGCTGGGCCTGTACTCACACTGCTGACATGGTCCTACTGGGGCAGAGGGTGAGAGATGGGGGTGTATCATGTGCTGCCACGTTGGGGGCTACTCTTTGCACCCCATCGGTCATTTGATCCCTAGCCTGGGCCTGTGTGTCCACTGCCTCAAGGCTGGAGCTGAGGACATACCAGGAAGCAGTGTGTTTATTGTCAGTGCCCGGCCTTCACCTGCAACTTGTTTGCACAAGGCTCCTTCAGCTTCCTGGTGAATGTTCTAGCCTTGCCAGCAGAGGCTGGACTGCATGCCAGTGGTCAGAGGTCATCCATCCCACTGTCTGCTTGCCCACCTGCCTGTGTAGCTAGCACCTGGCCTGTCTTGGTGCCCTCAGAGGCTCAGTCTCAGCCTGCCAGGGTTTGAAACCGGAGAGGGTTCTGAGCGCGGCTGGGGCTGCACAGCCGCCAGCTCTTTGCTGGAGGTTGGCTGCAAGCACCAAGTGTGCTTAAAGCAGCCAAGCACTATCCTGTGGCAGGCGGTCCGAATCCGCCACTTCCCCCGCCTTGTCCATTCGTCTTGATAGTGGCTCCGTCTGTCTGGCCACCTCACTCCTACTGTCACTCAGGAAGAGCTCAGCAGCCACGTGTCAGCCCTTCCGAGCCTGTGTATGCTCCTTCCATGACCTCGTCATCTCCAGTGACCAGCCCCTCCATTCCTCCACTCTCCATTTCAGCCACCCCCCCACCGATGGCTGCTCACGGCCAGGTCACCACCTGGAACTGCTGCACCCCTTAAATTGCTGAGTCAGGCACCCCCTGTCTACCGACAGCCCTCAGGCCCTCCAGCCCAATCTCAGTCCCTTGCAGGACACGGGTTCCGTACTCAGCAGGATGCCGAGCCTTGCTTCCTCCCTGCTGCCCCCTCTATCTTCATTTCCTTCCCTCCCCAGCTGAGGTTCCCTGGTCCATCACTTGAACACTCTTCTGCCAATATCCGCAGCTCTCTTGGCTGCCTGTCTCATGGTCCCACCCGGCTGGCAGCCCCCCAGCCCTGGAGGAATCCCAGAAGCCTCCAGCTTGGAGCCACCCTCCCCCACTCCACTGCCGGGATCGGGCTGGGGAAGCTGGCCGTTGGGTGGGTCTTTCCTACTGCCAGACATGCCTGCCCAGCCATCCTCGGCTTGTCACTGCCCAGCCAGCCTTTTGCTTTCCCTACTCAGCACTCTGCAGCCCCCCACAAGGATGGGGAGACCACCTCTCCATCTTAAGCACCATCCCTCTCCTCCCCCAACCTCCTCTCCGGGCAGATGGCCCACCTCCTCCTCCACAGAGACAATAGAAGCCAGCACGCCTCAATACTGCGTCTGCACCCCAACCCCGTTCCAATGGCAGAGGCATCGCCTTTTCTCTTGGATCCTTCCATCATGGCCTGGGCCCCCTCACCACCACCCCCAGGACCCTGGGCAGCCACTCATTTGCACTTTTGTCTGTGCAGCCATCTTCTTTTCCAGATTCTTCCTATTAGCATCTAAACAAGTTGAAATCTCTCACATCTTGAAAAACCCATTTGGTGAGGCCCAAACTTTTACATTCACTGTTCTCTCATCTTCCCCTCACCCCTCAAGCCTCCAGTCTGCTTCCAGCTATCCTATCACTCAACCACAAAGCCCTGGCTGAAGTCGCCCCTAGCCTTTCAAGGTCTCCAGGCACTTACTTGACCACTCTAGTGCCCTAGCACCCCTCACTCTCCCTCCAGAAGTCTCCTTCCTCTCATGGTATCTTTCTGGTTTAACTCCTACCTCCCTGGATGCTTTTCCTCCTCCTCTACCCTATCCCCAGGGGGCAGAGAGATGCTGAACAGATCATCCCAAGTGTGAAGAGTGTTGCAGAAAAGGGTGAAGACTTCCCAGGCTGGGGACTTATGACTGGCTGCCCTGAGGAGGTGGCTCTTTGGCTGAAGGGAAAGGTGTTTAAATGAAGAATTTGGGAGGAGAGGGTTCTAGGCTGAGGGAACCACGCATACCCTGAGCAGCTGAAGCGTCGAGCCCCTGGCTCTGTGTCCCCCACAACAGCTTCCAGGTGTGGCGCCCTGTCTGGGAAGGAGGATACCCTGGAGATGTCCAGTGGAATGTAACCACAGAGGAGAAAGTATGATCCTCCTGGTGGTGGGAGCTTCGTTAGAGGTCCCATCCTGGGTGTGAAGACTTGAGGAAACAGTGCCATCGCTGCCTGCAGATACAGCTGGCCTATACTTTACAGCTCTAGGGGCCCAGAGGTCAACTTAGCTCCATTCTTCAGAGAGTCTCTTAATTTGACTTTGGAGCTGCCCAGGATGGCTAGAACAGGCTTCCCAGGAGGTGATGAGTACTCTGCCCCTGAGGCGTACAAGTGGAAGCTGGGTCAAGGCCTCCTGTACCCTCCCATGTGAGAGAGTCCTCATTGGTTTTGTAGATCCCAGCCAGCTTTCAAAAGCACACGTGGCCAGTACCTGCTGTGGGCCAGGCCCGGCGCCAGAAGGGAGATGCCTAGATGCAGTGGGGTATCAGTGATAGTGTAGACAGTGCCTGGAGTGGCCAGGGATGGCTGCAACAGATGGAGCCGGGGTCACAGGTGGCTTCACAGCATTGAGAGGACTCTAGGATCAGGTGGAATTAAAGAGGCCACTCAGAGCCGGTGGCCAGAGTAGAGGTAGCAGTCTGGCCCTGAGTGAGAGGCTGCCCTGATGTAGACTGTCGTCAGTCATTTAATCTTGAGATGAGCTAGCCCGATTTCATGGTGATAACATGATATGTTACCATAGCAGGGGCTCCTGGCAAGAGGGAATAGAGACCCGTCAAATTTGCGGAGTCACCCCCGTACAGACCTTTTACTTCCCTCCACTGGGGAAACACGTTGTGGGCGGGAGGGAAAGTGTGGAGACCATCACTGCCAGAGAAGCTTCCTGACGGTGGTAGGCAGCAGCCCCACCTGGCATCCACCAGCACCTATTTGCGAAGCCCTTGATGCTGAGCTGGGCAGCCAGGGTCATGGCTGGTCTGTCGTTGTCATCTCTCTGGGCAGGCTGTGTTCTCGAGCTTAGTCTGGCTCCCTTTACTTCAGGGCTTAGGTGGCAGAGGCTCAGGAGACCTGCATTCCTGCCAGGCCTCGCCATTAAGTTGCTCTGTGACTTGGCGTAAAGTCTCTGTTAGGGTTTTTTGGCCTTGGAGGGCATCTTGATCTAGGCCATTCCACGATGGTTTCCCATAGGAGAGTTGTTCCTGGAAGTGAAGCTGGGAGAGTTGCTTGTGGGGTGGGAGGCATGAGCCTGGTCTTTGGGGAATCCCAAAAGGCCTTTGTCCTTGGATGAGTGAGCCACCCTGGAGGTGGTCATCCCCAGTGTGTAGCATCTGCTTGCAGCCCAGGTAGGTACCCATTGGCAGAACCTGGCTTGGAGCTCATGCCAGTTTATTTCTCTCATGCCAGTGGCCTCAAGTGTCACCAGCCTGGAGTAAGCAGCTGGGAGGAGGCTGTGTCCCAGGACAGTGGCCTTCAAATGCCTGATGGGCCTGCCAGCCCACTTGCCATTCTCCCCAGGACACGTTGCCCCAACCTTGGGCCCTGCTGGGTCACAGAGGGGCGCCAGTTTCCCTAGACCTCCCTCTCCTGGCCTTCCAGCCTTCACTGGCCACGAACACCGTGTCTGGGTCCACAGCAGGGTCCTGCTCTGTGGTCTGGGTCCTGGGCTAGACCCTGCTCCTGCCTTGAGGGAGAGACACCATTGATTGTTCTCCTGGACCTGATGGCGAGCACCCTGGGTAGGGGAAGCACTTGGGCTCCTTGAAGCCCAGAAGTCTCAGGGCTGGTGGGACGTTCCAGCCAGGCCCCGGGGGAATGGCAGAATTTTGATGAGGAGAAGGTCAGAGCCACACTAGCTCTGCTATGGACTTCTTCTCATTATCCTGATTGCAGCGGGGGAAACTGAGGCTTGAGAGACGGTATGTTGAGGCCAAGGCTGATGTTTCTCTTCACTTTCCACCTTGGGCAAGGCTCTGCAGGACCCTGATGTTGTAGAGCACAGGAACTGTCGGTGGTAGCTCCTGGAAGCCCCTGCTAGGAGCTGCCAGTGAACAGGCAGGCAGAGGTACCTAGTCATCATGACCTCCTCACCAGCACCAGGCCGGCCCCATAGCTGAGGTGGTGAGACGGTGGAAGGAAGCCATGATACTCCAGCAGGTGGCGCCAAAGGGCACAGCAGAGGGTTAGGGCTCTGCTAGGGGCTCTGCAGGCTTCTTGGAGGAATGGCTTCCTAAACTCCAGTCTGAGACTTCTGTGGGCCCAAGCTAGTCTTGAAGGCACAGGGTGAGAGAAAGTCTTGAAGGCACAGTGTGAGAGCGAGCCTCTGGGCAGAGGAATACAGACTGTCCCACCCCCACCCCACAAGGACCTTTTTGGCCTGGCAGGCAGCCGGCTGTCCACTCCCCAGCTGTCTTCTTCTGGAGAGGGACGCTGACCAGCTGGAACTTCATTCTCTCCTGTTGAGGCCAAGTGAGGGGAGGAATGGTGAAGTGGCTTTCTGGGGCCAGGGAGGCAGCTGCTGAAGCCAGGCAAGGAGGAGAAGGGTTTCCCTGCCTGCTGAAGGCCTTGACCTTGGGGGAAAGGCAGACAGCTGGGCCAGCATCCTCTCTGCCAGGCCTGCCCTGCCCCCTTTCTCCCAGGAAAGAGGATTCTGGCCCCCACTGGGCAAGAGAGAAAAGTAGAGGCTGTGCCAGGCAGACCCAGCCTCTGTGGGGGCCTCTACACAGTGAGACTTGTCGTCTGCCCGGGCAAGGGGAGTGCAGGGCTTGGCATCAGATTGCCCAGGCTGGCCCAGCCTAGGTTAGTAGCAGGCCTTGGAAGGGGCTGGGGTGGGGTGATAGTGAGCAGCCCCTGCTTGGCTCAGCATTTCCGTTGGTGCCCAGCCAAGGCTTCCAGGAGGAGAGGCTGGGGGCAGCCGGGGGGTGGGGGGTGGGGGGTGGGGTCCCAGCACTGGCCTAACATCTGCTGTTAGGGCTGATGAGTGAATCGTAGCTGGCCCGTTCTACATCACTGGAGGGACAGCAGCAAAGCCAGGCAGCAGCATCTTCCCACAGGGCCCTCCTCCTAGACCTTGGGCCTTGCCGCCAGCATAGACAGATACCTTCAGTTGTGGGGTGGAGGGGATTTCGGAACAAGAAAACTGGCTCGTGGGGATTCCTCTGAGAAGACAAGGCTGGGTGGGGAGTGTGGAGCTGGGGGTATGGGGACCCCTGGGATGGGGACCACTGAGCATGGGGCCATAGAGCTCTTCTGCCTTATGGTGTGACATGGCCCTGGTGCTGGCCCTCTGTGCTGTATCTCCTCTGACAGTGGGGCTGGTGATGCTGGTGGTTGTAGGGTCGTGCAGAGAAGACAGCCTAAGGGGTACGCAAGGAGTTCTGGTGGCGCAGTAGGAGCTGTTAACTACAAGGTGGGTGGTTTGAACCCCACCAGCAGCTCCACGAGAGAAAAGACCTGATGATCTGCTCTTGTAGAGATTATAGACTAGGAAACCCTATGGGGCAGTTCTGCTCTATCCTACAGGGTCCCTGTGAGTGAGAATCGACTTGACAGCACACAACGAGAAGGAAGGAGTGTGCAGTTCTCCCTCTCCCTGTCCAAAGGGTTGTGGGAGTGTAAAAGAGCATCCTGAGGTGCAAGGGTGGGTCTCTAGGGCTGACTCAAGGAGCATAATGGCCACCATGGAGCTGGATGGTGGCAGGTTGTGGGGAGGTGATGTATAGCATGGGTCCTGGAGCACATGAGATGCTGGAGGCCTCAGGGACAGGAGGGAAGAAGATGCAGGCTGGGTCTGGAGCCCCAGGCACAAAGCTTTGGCGGGCTCACTCTACACGGTCACGGGCAGAAGGCTGGCCGTTTGGGCCTCTTAGCTCACAGCTGTAAATGGACCCCGCCTGAGGCCCTCAGTTTGGGAAGGAGGGGCTTGTCCCTTCTCAGCGTGCATCCTATAGCCGACCCAGCCAGATCAGGGGTGGAGAGAGGGCAGCCTCCTGGCCCCAGGCCCAGGAGAACAGAGGTTATAACAGGGTGCCGAGCTGGGTGGGAGCTGAGGGAATGTGCAGCGGGCGGGGGCAGTGGGGGTCAGGCCAGGACAGGAGCTATGGTCTCTTTCTTCTGCCATCTTTCTGGAGGGCCCTGTGGGAGCTAGCCCAGTGGCCAGCCCTCTGAGCTGAGGTCTGAGGCCCTGGCCACCACCTCTCTCCTTTTCTTCCCTCAGTATTGGGGGCTACCTCCTACCAGGGATCTTCCCTGGATACCCTCAGCACTGGGTGCTCAGGAGACTTTCAGGGCAAGGAGCCAGCTCAGGACACACCAAAAGCTGGAGCAGGGCGTGCAGTCAGTGCCAGGTTCAGGGCAGCAGCCTCAGCTTCAGCTCTTGCTCTTCCATGGGGGCCTCACCCTGGCCTTGGAGAATGTTCTGCCCAGGTCTCACCCAGCTCCCTTGTGCCCTGAGTTCGTTGCTGGTGACAGGCTGGAAGAAAGTTGTGGCGACTGCAGCCCGACTGTGGCCTGGGGCTCTCTCCCTCCCTTTACCCTACCCTCCAGCAAGGTGACTACACAGAACTTACTGCCCCAACCCCTTTGCAGCAATGCCTTGCTGGATCAAGGCAGCACCTTGTTCCTTGGAGGCAGCCCCACCCCTCCCCAGCTCCACAGCCCCCTCTGCTGCCCACACTGCCATCCAGGGTTGGCCTTCTGCAGGGCAGAGAACCTCGGCAAGCATCAGCTGGGACTGACCTAAGCCCAGCCTCCCACCCAAGTCTCTAGGTCTCCTCCAGGTCGTCCTGGGCTGATACCTGGCCCTCGCTTCTGGCCCAAAGGGAGGAGGGTGGTTCTCCCTCTTGGGAGCGGGGCTCTGCAGGGTAGCTGTCTGCTTGCTCTCTCTGCCTGACCTTGGAACCCCCTCTCTGCCCTTCCCTAAGGAGGTTTCTCCCCACCCTACTCCTCAGCCTTTCCTCCCCTACCATCATCTCACTCTCTCACTCCATCTGTCCTCACCCAGCAGCCAGGGTGGCCCTAACTGAACCATGATACTCCCTGCTTACATCCCAAGCAGGGGTCCCTAGCCCCTTGGCCCCACCCAAAGGACCAGCTTGCAGACCCCACCCACCGAAAGCACTGCCCTGCCAGCTGCTGCGCCCTTCACTCCTGCTGTTCTGACCATGCTTGATTCCTCGAATGCGTCCACACTTAGGGCCTCCAGGCCTTCGCACACAGTTTCCTCTCCCAGTCCTTTCACCTGTCAGGTTCCTGCCCTCTGCCACCACTGGTGGGGCTGTGCGCCTCACCTCCATGTGCCCACGGTTCCGTGTCCTGTGGGGTAGTTAACTCATTTCTCAGTCCCTCATGGGGCCTGAAGGCCGCCCCCCAACAGAGAGCTCATGATGCTGGACTAGGGGACACATGGGCAGGGAGAGAGATGAGCCAGTGGTGCTTATCCAAAGCAGCCATGAGTCAGTACACATTGTTGAGGGCCTGGTGGCCCATGCAGTATGGACAAGGCCATGGTGCTAGGCCAGGACTTCCAAACCACCTCCTATGTTGCTGTGTGCCTCCCGTAGTTACAGCTACATGATTGACAATGTCATCCTGCTCATCACGGGCACGCTGCACCAGCGCTCCATCGCCGAGCTGGTGCCCAAGTGCCACCCACTAGGCAGCTTCGAGCAGATGGAGGCCGTGAACATCGCGCAGACCCCTGCTGAGCTCTACAATGCCATTCTGGTGGACACGCCACTGGGTGAGCTACTGTACTGGAGGAGGGAGGAGACGGGCTGGTGGGGTCGGTGTTAGTGCCTGTGTGTGGAATTTACAGACCCCCAGGAGGTGACCCTGAGCTGGAAAGTGAGACTTGCTCACTGCTGCTCACCTTTATCCTCCACTCAGCGCCCCCTCCCATTTTCCTCTCGTACCCCTTTATCCTTTCCTTTGCTTTTGCTGGGCCAGTCAGGCCACTGCCAGGGCCTGACTCCGATCACCTAACTTTGTCCAGCATTCATGGAGGGTGGAGAAAGGCCTGGGTCCCTTGGGGGCTGGGAGCTCTTGGGGACAGACCGATTCCAAGCTAGGGCCTGTGCAGGGCTGGTGTGGCTGGCTTCTTGTGAGGCAGAGTTGAGGAGCAAACAGCTTCACTTGCCTCCACCGGGGAGGTCCCAGGGCCTGGGCCAGGCAGTGCCCCGCAGGATGCAGGGTCCATGTCAGTGGTCCAGGAAGGAAAGGGGACAGGGAGCTTCCTGCAGGCCCCCACCTAGGCAGTGCCTGCTCATGCCTGCCTTGGAGGTTGGAGAGAAGGCGCTGAGGCCGTAACCAGCTGGTGCCCTCAGGACCGGCATCCTTGGCCCCAAGGCACTATCTCCAGGAAGCCACCAGAATTGAACCACAGGGCTCTAAGCTGCACTAGGTCCTAGACTGAGAAGCCTGAGCCCGCCCTGCTGGCCTACCTGCCATGGAATCTCTCAGTAACTCTGAGCTAGTTCTGGGCTGCTTGTGGCTCCAGTTTCTTTGTCTTTAAAGGAGAGACAGGCCAATGAGTCTTCAGGCCCTCCTGGGGGGTAAGGGTACTGTATCCCACTCCAACCTCTATCTCCAGCCTGACAGAGGCCACCTGGGTCACTGGTCCATGCCCACCAGCTGTCAGATTCATTCCTTGTCCTAAGAAGGGGGAGGCTGGTTCTCCAAGTGTGGGCCCCAGGCGACAGGCCTCAAATGCACAGCTGCCCCTCTAGAAGGGAGGGTGTCCTGGCCTCTTATGCAAGCCTGTCTTTGGCATGGTCTGAGCTTGGGTCTGCCCCAGCAGCGATTAGATCATACTGTGGCTAACCGCCTTCTTTATAAATCAGTTTTAGGAGCAAGGAGGCAGAAGCAGCCTAGGTCAGTCCACATGGCCCAGAGTGTTGCTTCTGCCGCTTCTAAGGCAATCGCTCAGGACTGGTACTTCACTCCCCACCTCCCACCCCCAGCCAGATAGGGCTGTGGTGGGGCCCTCGGTACCCTGCAGAGGCAGCTGAACATTGCAGGGCTCTCAGCTAGGCCAAGTCCACTTGCCCACCCCTCATACCCTTGACTTTCCTGCCCAGCGGCTTTTTTCCAGGACTGCATCTCCGAGCAGGACCTTGATGAGATGAACATCGAGATTATCCGAAACACACTCTACAAGGTAGCGCAGCACAGCACAAGCGGCGAGGGATTGGCCTGTAAGCGGGTGGGGTCGTGGGGCACGGTGAGATGGTGACTTATGTGGGGTGCTGGGACAGGACGAAGCTGCACCAGGCTCCTGTCCCTGGGGCTTGTCCGCTCATTGTCTGGCTCAAGTCTGCATGGAACAGGTTCTCCATCCCGTGGCACCCGAGGCGGTCCCAGATAAGATCAGCAGGAGGGGCTGGTGTTCTACAGCCTGGCCTGTCAGAGCTGGTTTCTAGACAGCCACTCCTCCTGCACCCAGGAGGGTCGCGGGTCACCACCCAGGCCATAGCCCTCGGGCCCACCCCACCTGGGCTGTTGCCAGCAAGGGCAAGCATTTGAGCAAAGGCAACACTGTTCACTTACGGTGGGGGTGGGGATCCAGCCAGGTGTAGCCAGGCCCTCGTGTCCCTTTCAGGTTCCCAGGCTCAGAGCCAGCGCCGCTTCCACCATCCTCACCCCCCAACTGCCTTCTGCTCCCCACCAGGCTGTGGTGTAGGCTGGGTGCCCCCTGGAGATAGAGGGTACGCTTGGGATTCCTGGGTTAGCGCCGCCCTAGGCCTAGAGAGGTTAAGAGCGAGGGTGGGAGCCAGGAAGGGGGCTGGTCAGGGCCAGTCAGGGACGTTTGGGACAGACCAGACTCTGGCCGTGGAGAGGTACTGAGCTGTGGTACCAGGACCTCTGATGGGCTGCAGCCAGGAACGTGGATCAGCAGTGGGCAGGCCCCAAAGAGGGGTAGAGGGTGGCACTGACCCAGGGACCTGCTGAGTTAACCCTTCGAGCATCTGTCGATCAGATCTTTCCAGTGAGGGTCCTCTCCTGCCAAGGTTGGGGCAAGCCGGCCAACACCTGGCCGCAGCCTGAAGCCAGGCCTTCCAGTCTCCCCACAGGGTCTGGGCTGGGCAGAGCACAGGGAGGGGCTGATGGCAGGCAAGGGGCCCGCCTGGAGGTTGCAGTGAGGCAGAGAATGGAACAGCATCTGCAGAGGGAAAGCATGGCGCACCAGCCAATAGCAGGTGGTTTGCTGTGGCTGAAGTACAGGTTCTAGATGAACAGCAAGAAAGAGACCAGGAAGAAGGGGCAGACACAGATATGTGAACTGTGGGCACGGTCAGCCAGTGAAGGTTTCCAACAGGCTGAGTATCATCAGGAAGCTCCTCTGGCCATAGTATGGAATATGGATCAGAGGGAGCAAGACTAGAGGTAGGAAGATCATAGACTTTTTTTAGTCCTTAGGGCCTCCCTAGGAGCTAGGTGGGCATCATTGTCTTCACTTGTAAAATGAAGAAACCGAGGGCTCAGAAGTGGGGTGGGTTGCCTGAGCCACACAGCACATCAGTGGCAGCACCAGGGCTCACACCTGGCTCAGCCTGTTTGCAAAGCCAGTGCTTTCACCCACCCACAGGCCAGCCAGTCAGCTGAGTGTGTGGGTGTGTGTGTGCGTGTGCATGTGTGCTCCTGGGGCTCCCGCCCGCCCAGCTGGCCTATTGCCGGGTTCCCTGCCCTGAGACAGGGTGAGGGGTGCGGCTGTCCCCCAGCCTCACCCTCACCGGGCCTGACTGGTTCTAGCTAGAGTGACTGGCGAGAGCTGCCTGGGCACCAGCTCATAAACACCAACCCAGTGCTGCGGGCCCTATGCCAGGGCCTCCCGCCCATCAGACGATGTCCCAGCCCAGTGGCCACAGATGGGAGATTAGGTGGACCCTCAGCCAGCCGACGGGTGGGAACTATAGGCAGCTGGTGCAGCAGCCACGGGCTGGCAGACGGGGTAGGCTGGGAAGGTGACCTTGGTGCCTGGGCCTCTGGGGTCTTGCCAGTTTCTTTAGCTACCCTAACCTCCCGAGGAGGGTCTGGGCCTGTCCCACCAGACTCCCCGTCCCTGGGGTCAGCCTTTCCAGGGATCTGCCCAGCTTGGCTAAGCATATGGGCTGGTGGCAGGGTGTGGAGGCCAAGACCTGGCTGGCGGCTTCCTCCACAGAGATGGAACTGCAGGCCCCACTGGGGCAGTCCTTGGAGTTCAGGCACAGCCAGCTTGGCTGGCCTTGGGGAAAGTGGTTGGGGACAGATTCCTAGAGGGACTGAGTGGCACCACTAAGCCATGGTAGGGATTGGCAGCTGTCTTTGCCACCTAGGCCCTCCAACTCCCAGGAGTCCTCTGCTGGGATCCATTTTCCCTTTCTAGGTTTCTTCTGCCCTAACCTGCCGGAGATTTTTGTTTCCTGTGACCCCAGTGGTCACCCTCAGGTCTTCTCCTGATCCTAGCTTGCCCACTGCTGCTCACTGGGCTAGGCTGGGCTGATGGACTCCTGAGTGTCCTCAGATCTCCTCTCTCAGGGCCCAGAGCCTGTGGGCCCAAGTCAGCTGGCGGTAGGTGGGAAGGTCTGTGCACCCTGAAGGGCAACCTGCAGCTCAGAAAGCTCCCCATGCCTCTCAACTCTCTTCCAACTCTGAAAAATAGCCTGTGGAGCTGGAGTCCCTGTGACCATGCCACTAGATGGGACTGGGAGGGGAGGGGTCCTGAGTGAAGGGAGTTCATGCAAGGGGGCTCGCCATAGAGGCTGCAAGCCTCCTTCCTTGGCACATAGGGATGGGAAGGAAGCCTGTGCCCGGCTGGTTCTGTGCATGAGTGCTGGGAGAGCCTGGGCTGACCCTTCTTCCCCTCGTGCCCAGCAGGTCCAATTTGCTTGGGTAGGAAGTGCTTGTTCCCACCAGCAGCTGAGTGCCCAGCCACTGCATGACATGGCTGACGTCCTTATAGGCAATAACCATCCCTCAGCAGGAACTGGGCTGACAATTTGGTTCCTGCTGTGTGATGCCCAAGGGCTGCCTGGGGCATGGGAGGAGGAGGTTTTCTCTGAGACAGGGTACAGAGGGGCGCCAGTGGCTGGCAGAGGTTGGACCACCCATTCCAGGCCATCTCTGTGAACTCTCAGGAGTACCCTGCCCTCACTAACCCGTGGATGCCATGGGCCTGGCTGGCTGAGGAAGAAGTGTTTCAGGGAAGGCAGAAGCTCCCTCTGAGCCTGGCCCTCTTTGGGGTGAGGGGTAGGGGACATTGTACCCTGAAGCAGACAGCCAGAAACTACCCTGTCACTCCTGGGTGAGAGGCAGCAGGCTGATGCTACTTGGCTGATTTACAGTTGGAAATTGTGGATTTTTCAGGGGTTTTGACATGAAGGCTGCCCTGGCCAATCCATGGATGTGGTGTTTGGACTCATCATGAAAGGAGCTGGGACGGGGGGAGGGAAGTGGGAGTGGGAGGCCCACAAGCCCATCAGAGCCTCCCAGCCTGGGCTGAGCAAGCCCCATCCTCTGCACAGGCCTACCTGGAGTCCTTCTACAAGTTCTGCACCCTGCTGGGCGGTACCACGGCCGATGCCATGTGCCCCATCCTGGAGGTGAGTGCCCGCTTCCCTTCCTGCCTGCCATCTGTGTAGCCCTGGTCAGGGGGAAGCCGTGCCCACTGACGGGCCGCTGCCTCCTTCTCCCTCTGCTTCTCTCACTGCTGCCTGCACACTGGCTCCCCAGTTTGAAGCTGACCGCCGTGCCTTTATCATCACCATCAACTCCTTCGGCACAGAGCTATCCAAGGAAGACCGTGCCAAGCTCTTTCCACACTGTGGGCGGCTCTACCCTGAGGGCCTCGCCCAGCTGGCCCGGGCTGACGACTATGAGCAGGTTAAGAACGTGGCTGACTACTACCCGGTGAGTGCCCTGGCTGGCAGGACGCTGGGTGGGCATCTTGGCACCACGCCCACCCACCCAACAGCCCCCACATGCTCATGCTTCCCACCACTCTCCCTGGGGCCAGGAGTACAAGCTGCTCTTCGAGGGTGCAGGCAGCAACCCCGGAGACAAGACTCTGGAGGACCGATTCTTCGAGCACGAGGTGAGTGCCGGGTGCTGCAGGGCCTGCCCATCATAGGGAGGGGTTGGTGACTCAGCCCGATCCTTTGGCCATGGCCGCTGGTCTACCACACCTGCCTCTGTCCGCAGGTGAAGCTGAACAAGTTGGCCTTCCTGAATCAGTTTCACTTTGGCGTCTTCTACGCCTTTGTGAAGCTCAAGGAGCAGGAGTGCCGCAACATAGTGTGGATTGCTGAGTGCATCGCCCAGCGCCACCGCGCCAAGATCGACAACTACATCCCCATCTTCTAGCGCCCTGACCCGACTCCCCACAAGTGCACTGTGTGTGTTTGTGTGTGCTGTGACAAAGCCCTGGGGGGAAGAAGCATCTTGTCCCTGCAGCTGCCCAGCTTCCCGGACCCTCTCTGAGACTGCTCTTGGGTCTCAAAAGGGGCGAGGCATCTGCTCCCCACTCCAAGGATGGACCAAGTCCTCTCCAGAGCAGGAAGGCCCCTTAGCCCTATGTTTACAGCCACTGACATGTCTGAGAAGCATGTGATCACTTTCATGTCCCTCCCCAACCTGAGAATCCCTGGGGACAGTGTGAGGCCCCCCTCCCCCCGCCCCCGCCGTGTGGGTCGCCTTCACGGCCCAGGAGAAGGATAGAGTATGTGTGTGCTAGGTGTGGGGAGGGGCGGGGAGAGTAGCTCCACAGCCCCCTCCCTATGCCCCATTCTTGAGATAATAAAGCTGCCCTCTCTGAGCCCATCTGTGTGCTGTCTCCTTTGGGCCCTAGTGCCTCTCCCAGACCCCCACCTTCCCTCCTTACCCTGCCCTTGCTGAGCCCATCCCTGCCTCAGCCTCCTAGCTCCCTCTCTCAGCCTGCAGCCCAGGCTGGCCTTCTCCCCTAGCAGCCCAGATTCCTTGGGGTGTGGGGAGTCTGGTGGATAACCCTGCACTGCTGGAGGTTTAGATGAAGAAAGGCCTGTGGAGCTGGGTCCTGGCATGGAGGGGCCCCAGGCTTCCCTATTTGCTTCACTCAGCCCCACAACTTTCTGGGATCAGGATCGTTATCCCCATTTCACTGTGAGGAAACCCAAACCTATGGATAAGTTATTTGCTCAAGGTCCATGGGGGGAGTAGAGAAGTGTGAACCACAGGCTGCCAGGGAGCCCAGTTAGGTCTGTGCCCACAGCCCTGGCCCCATGTTTAATCTGGGACCTCCCCAGGCAGTTGCCAGCTTCTGTCACACAGCCATACCCTGTCATCCAGACAACTAGGCAGTCACCCACTGCAAACACAGCATCTCCCCCATTGTAGGAGAAATAAAAATGTATATTTAAAAAGTGGCAATCCAGCCAGTAAGATATGCAGCCTCCCTGTGGCTTGGGGGATTGGGGTGGTGATTGGGGCCGGTCAAGAGGCAGTTGGGATTCACTCTTCGAATCTTGGCGCTGAGGCACTGGTGCCAAGAAACAGTCCTGAGAGGGTCCCCAACCCACCCAGTCACTCCTTAGTTTGCAGAGGCACTGTCTGTGGGGTCCTGTGAAAGGCTACAGCTAAGTCTTGCACTACACTCCTCATCCAAGCTGCAGGGTGGAGCATGGTGCCCAGGAGGGTCTGTTTGGGCCCATGAAGCAGTGGAGAGGCCTGGAGCCTCCCTGGAAAACCTCAGCCTCTCAGGGTCTGGAATGAGGCACCCAGTAGCAGATGGGGCCGGGCTCTCTGGGCCAGGCTTTAGGACAGACTTGGGGGCTCACAATGCCCAGGGTAGGGCTAAGGGCTCAATGAGCCTCCCGTGCTGGAGCAGCTGGGCCATATGTGCGCCTGCTCACCGGGCCGCAGTTGGGGAAGGGCCTGGATTCGGGTTTGGGTCCTGGGCTGCCTCCTGGGTGGAGGTAGGGCCAGGCTGGCCTGGCCTCAGTGCACGTGGCAGACAGGGACTGATGAAGAAGGTCTGCAGGAAACGGCGCCGCAGGCCCTCGGGCAGGTAGTAATGGATAAAGTACATGAGCCCCATGCCGCGGCCCGGGTAATAGCGGCGCCGGGGCTGGGCTGCCAGCAGCGCATCGGTGATGGCATCTACGACCGGACTGAGGTCGGGGAGCGCCAGGCTGAGCGAATTCAGGAACTGCCCGTGGAAGTGCTCGATGTAGTCCTCGCCGTAGGCCTGCAGTAGCTCTCGGGGCAGGTTAGCCAGCAGCAGCCGCTTGCTCAGCTCCCAGCGACCTACGTTCAGCACAGATTCTGGGGAAAGAGTGACAGGGTCAGGCCACGCCTCCAGCCAAAGGCTCGCCCATTCCTCAGACCAGAACCCGCCCCCACATAAGACCATGCTCACTCTTTCCCAGACTTAAAATAAAAAAAATAAAAAAAACCATTGCTGACGAGTCGATTCCAACTCATAGTGACCCTACAGGACAGAGTAGAACTGCCCCGTATGGTTTCTTTACCGAAGCAGACTGCCGCATTCAAACCGCCGACCTTTTGGTTAGCAGCCCAGTGCTTAACCACTGCAACACCAGGGCTCCCTTTTCCCAGTCATACGCCCCGCTAAAGCTTCTAACTGGACCAGTAAGCAACATCATGATAAAGGGAGAAAAGACAGAAGCTGTCAAGGATTTCATTTTCCTTGGATCCACAATCAACGCCCCTGGAAGCAGCAGTCAAGAAATCAAATGGCTATTGCACTGGGCAAATCTGCTGCAAAAGACCTCTTTCAAGTGTTAAAAAGCAAAAATGTCAACTTGAGGACTAAGGTGCACCTGACCCAAGCCATGGTATTTTCAGTCGCCTCATATGCATGCAAAAGCTGGACAATGAATAAGGAAGACCAAAGAAGAATTGATGTCTTTGAATCATGGTGTTGGCGAAGAAGAATACTGAATACACCATGGACTGCCGGAAGAAGGAATAAATCTGTCCTGGAACAAGTGCAGCCGGGATGCTCCTTAGAAGCAAGGAATTCAAGACTTGGTCTCACATACTGTGGACATGTTATAAGGAGGGGACCAGTCCCTGGAGAAGGACATCATGCTTGGTAAAGTAGAGAGTCATCAAAAAGAGGAAGACTCTCAATTAGATGGATTGACGTAGTGGCTGCAACAATGGGCTCAAACATAACGATTGTGACGATGGCCAGGATGGTGCAGGACCCAGCAGTGTTTCTTCTTCATAGGGTGGCTATGAGCTGAACCGACTTCACAACACCTAACAACAACAACAACAAAGCCTCTATTACCGACCCAGCCCTACATCTGGCCCCACTCCCAGTCCCGGGCACCTACCTGTCTTGAAGCAACCAGGCTGGATGACGCTGACCTTGATCCCCCAGGGCAGGAGTTCACAACTGAATGTGTCCATGAGCAGCACCATGGCTGCCTTGGAGGTCCCGTAGGCTGCCAGGCACGGATACGGCATGTCTCCTGGGGTTAGATTGGAGGATGGAGCAGGAGTTCAGCCTCAGCAAGGGGCTCCCCCAGGCCTCCGCCGCCCCCCGGCTCCCGTTCCCTCCTAGCGGGGGAGGAGATTCACCAGCCGGGCTGCCCACGGTCACGATGCGACCCCTGGAGCGGCGCAGCAGCGGCAGGAGACCCTTGGTCAGCTCTAGTGCACCGAAGAAGTTGATCTCCATGCAGCTGCGGAACGTAGCCACCGGCGACAACTCCACATCGGCCACCACGTCGTTGTGGCCCGCATTGTTGACCAGGCCCCACAGGCCTGAGGGCACAGAGCAGGGACAGGAGCAGCAGGTCAGCCCAGAAGTGACCCTCCAATCCCTGTCCTCCTCTCACACCCATGTAGCCATGCCCTCTGCCTGAGTGCCCCTCCCACTGACCCGTGCTGGAGGTGTGGGCCTTGGTGAACTCCAGAACACGGCTAATGTCTGCTGGCTTGGTCAGGTCCATCTGAAGCAGCTTTAGGCGAAGGGAACAGCAGGCACGCAGCTCGCGGGCACCGGGGCCATCCAAGTCCAACACAGTGGCCAGCACTGTGAAGCCCATGGCGTCCAGTTGCTTGGCTGTCTCCTTGCCAAAGCCAGTGTCACAGCCTGGTCAGGATAGGACAGCCAGTTACCTTCTACTGTGGCCCAGGGCCAGCCAGAGACAACCCCGGGGTCACAGGATCACCAGAGTGAGGATGGGATCTAGGCCCCTGGACACCCAGCCTAGGAGCAGTCAGCAGCCCTCCCTCCTTCCTGGGCCCATCTCTGGCAGGCTTGGCCCTCTGGCTGAGCACATGCAGCACTGACTCCTTCACAGCTCTCATCTCCCTAACTCCCACAGCTACTCCATCAAGCATGACATATGATCCCACTTTACAGTTAAGCAAACTGAGACCCAGTGATGTTAAATTGCTTCTCAAAGTCACTCTGCTAGGGAAGAGGAAGGTAAGGACTCTAACCCAGATGGGCTTGAGGCCCAGTCCCAGCCCTGATGTCCTTCTGCTGCTGGATACCAGGCCATGCACACAGTATTGCCACACAGCCTCCCTTCCTTCCTCACTGCCCTTGTTCAGGCTTCTCCATCCTGCACCCAGACACTGAAGTAGCCTCCTCTCTAGTCTTGTCTCATCTTACCCCACTGGATCTGCTCTCTACCTAGCAGCCAGAGGGACCTTTCCAAAAATGACAGTATCACTCTGCTGCTCAAAACCATTCCAAGGCTCCCCACAGCCCTCAGGACGAATCCCAAGCTCTCAGCATTTCAGGTCTCGGACACCCTCATCCCTACTCCCTTCCCAGCCTGAACACCCCATGCTATTGTTCCAGAGTCTAAGCAAGCTGGAAGCCCACCCTCACCCCTGACCCTTACCCTTGGAATTCCAATCCATGGCAACAGTGGGGCCTTCTCTGAGCCCTAGACCACTTGCCTCTAGGACAGGGACCATGATGGATGAAGAAATGAACAAACCGCCATTTGAATCCCTTCCTACACCCACCAAGTGTGACCTGAGGTCAGTTACCACTCTTGAAGCCTTCATTTCCTGTCTTGGTGAGTAGTGAGAGGAACCAGCAGGCAGAGCCAGTGTGGGGGTCCGTGGTGAGTGGTACCTGATAAGTGCCTGCTTCCTTGCGTGTTCTCTTTCTGATCCTGGCTCTGTGGGCGGCCAGCAAGGGGAGGGGGAAGGGCCATTGAGGGAGGAGGCTCTATGAGCGTGCCCCGGGTGGTCCTGCTGAGCAGAAGCAGCAAAGCACTCTGCTTCCCCTCTCCTGGACAGCTCAGCACTCCTCTCCATATCAGCCCCGCCCCCTCTGCCTCTGCCTCTGCTGAGGCAGAGAACAAAGCTGGGCAGGGGGCTGTAAGCTGGGCTTTGCGCTAAGGGTCCTTCCCAGGCCAGTCTGGCTGGGGGAGGGGAGTGAGCACGTGTGTGTCCATTGCCTCAGCTTCCTCCCAGAGCAGCTAGGGCCTCCACAGGGAAACTGAGGCCTCCCAGAGCCTCAGATCTGTGGCCCAGTCACAGTTACCCACGCCTTGCACACTCTCTTGCTCACCTGCACACACTCACATACCAGTACATACCTCCAACCTGCCTGGACATTCACACACGGGCTCATGCTCACCAGAGCCCATCAGCTCACAGATGTCCACATGCACACACACAGTCCCAGCTACTCACCCCAAACCCTGACCCCAGGACTGAGTCCTGAAGAGCTGAATAGCCTTGGCCAAGCATTCATAGGGGCATTCTCAGGGAGGGGTGGGTGACTTCTCTGGGGGGGTATGGGACACAGTGTTCTCGGCAGGTGGGGCAGGGCCTGGTTACCTACTTGT